GTTGTCTTTGTTGATGCCCCCCCCCCCCTGCCACTCCTCCAGAAGAGTGGTTCAGTCTTAGGGTTGGAGTTATGGTTAGGGTTTAAAAATGTGTAAAAATACAAAAAAAAAAAAAAATTACCAAGAGTGGCTCAATCTTCCAGTCTTCAGACCCAGATGTGAGAGGATAAAGCAGGGACGAGGAGTTTTGGCCCTGGGGCAGAAATCACAGGGCCCACGAACAGGACAGGTCTGGGCTCATGGCTCAGCTCTGCCACCAGCCACTGAGTGACGGATCCATCCTTCCACTTCTGAGCCTGCGTTCATCCATCAGCAAAGTGGAGACAGCCCCTCTAGGGTTGTTGGGAGGATTGAATACACGCCTGCATGCAGAGCTGTTCCTGCACGGCCTTCTCCTGGGGCCTGCCCTCATTGAACGGAGGCCGTGGTCACTGCCACTGCCATCGTCAGCATCAGGGTGAAGCAGGAGGCAGGGCTTAGACATGGACGGGCCACCGTCCACTCTCTGTTGGGCTGAAGGGAATGAGGAGATGAGATAGCAAAGCTTTCCATGGTGGGGAGGCTGCTCCAGAGTGTCTGGGCTGTGTCCTCAGATGAAGGAGAACTCTGCGGTGTGGAAAGCTAAAAGGCACGTCACTTAGGAGCCGGCTGCCTCGAGACCTCCCTCCTCCAAATCTAGGGTGGCCCTCCCGCATTCACTGCGAGCAGAAGGCCTGATCCCTGCCCCCTCCTCCCTCCCCTTGGGCAGGAGCACTCCCTGAGGTGTGCTGTCTCTTCTAGATGAAGCCCATGAACGTGGAATATCTCATGATGGATGCCTCCATCCTGCTTCCCCCCACGGGCACGCCACTGACGGGCATCGACTTTGTGAAGCGGCTGCCATGTGGGGATGTGGAGAAGACCCGGAGGGTGAGTGAGCTCCAGGCTGGTCTCTTCTTGGGCAGCTGGTTGCCAGAGCCCTTCCCAGGCTAGGAAGGAGCCAAGCCAACAGCTTGCCTCCAACACAAGGTTAGCTGGTGGGTAGAGGACACGTCCCCCACACACCTGCCACCAGGTGTGACCTTCCGAAGCTTTTCCTTCCCTTTGAGGAGCAGGATCTGGAATTCTATTGCGCGTGGTACCACCGCGGGTTGCAAGCAGGCTGCCTTCACCGGCGCCCAGCACAGCCCAAGCCTGGAGCGCAGCGAGAGGAAGCCAGGGGGCTGGGCTTCTGTGAACCGCGGACGTGAGCCCAGTACATCCAGTGCAGGTGAGATTGGTGTGAAATCATAGCCTAGTGATCTCAGGACGCCAGAGATGGTGTGATGTTAAGGTATCTGACCGATCTTGAGGCTCAGTATACGTAAATGAAGTCGCGGTGCTCCCTGGCCTGTGGGAGAGCCATGTGCACACAGATTAGTTCTCAGAACCAGCCAGAGCACGAGCTTCCGTTATCAGCTGTTTTCTGAAGCAGGCGCTCTAGGAAGCAGACACGGCTATTCATGGTATTTTATCTCCCTTGTCAGATCGCAGTTTGTTTCTTAGAAAGCACCATGACCTTTTCCTAGAAAATCATTCCCTGGAGACGTGAATATCAGTGGATAAGCGAGAGGAAACCATTGCACACAGCGGCTGTTGCCAGCCTGCATCTACTCAGATAATCTGAGTGCGACCAGAGCGGCAGGGCTGTTTCACTCTTGGATTTTGAAAAGCAGGTCTGCCCTGCTGGCTGTGCCTCAGACAAGAGGGGTCCGCCATCTTCCCCTACCCAAGCCGAAGCTTTGGCCTCAGAAGCCTGGGGGTGCAGAGGAAGTGGGACCGTGTGCCTTGAGTCAGTCTATGTTCCCAGCTGTCTGACCAAACCCACAAACCTCGCCACAGGACCCGCCCTGCCCGGGCCACGGACGCCTTCCTTCCTCGTGCTCACCAGGGCGATGACCCTGCTGGCTGGGCACGTGATTCTGTCTGTGGGTGGCAGTGTTGGCACTGGGCATCCTTAGCCTCAGCCTCCACAGGGAGAGTGGGTCTGACAAGTGCGGACTGTGCTCGCAGCTCCTCGGTGCTGATGTGCTCACCCTTAGCCTTCGATCGGCCTGAGGAGTGCTCCCCAGCAGGGGTATAGCCTGGCCACACACCTCGCTGGGGGCTGTAGCACCCCCATGCCACAAGGACCCCACCCCAGAGCTTCTTCCCGGCTGCTGAGCCGGGGGGTCCACAGGACTGGACGCTGAGCGCGGCTGCTCTGGCTGCACTGCTGTTGGTTCACAGTTCACCAGGTTTTTTCTTACCACTTGGATGAGCACACATTCCTGGATATAGAGTCTTACGAGGCCTTCCCTGTGCATTCTCCAGCCACCCTAGGCGGATGGCCCCGTTTTATCCCCATTTTGTAGAGGAAGAACCTGAGGCAGGAGGAGATCAGTGATTTGCTCAAGGTCACCCAGCCAAGGTCTGGAGCCGGCCCAGGCAGTGTGGTTTCCAGAGCCCAAGCTCCTAACACTCTGACTCAGGGCTTTCACTGCTGCCTTCATCCTATCTGTTGGCCCTACTCGGGATGGACACAGGCATATGGAAAACATGCCCACCATCTGGAGTCTAGAGAGTGAGGTGGGAAAAGGTAGCAGCAGGCCATGTGGCCAAGGCTGTCACTTAGCAGCGTGGAGTCAGGTCCCTGATCCTACTGGGGAAGGGGAGCAGACAGACTTCAGAGGGGGTGGTCCTTAAACCAGGAGTGTGCAGATATGGCCAGGTAGCTAGAGGAGCAGAAGCCCAGAGAGATGTGGCACGTGGCCCCTCCAAGTAGGGAACCACAAGTTGGAGCCTAGTGAGGAGTGATGAGCCCAGAAGGATTGGCAGGAGCCAGATCATGGGCACCTTGGAGCCTGAGGTTGGACAGGTGGTCCTGATCCATAGGAGAGAAATGGGAGAAATTCAGGGTAAGGCATTCAGGCAAGAGGGGAGGTTGCCTGTCCTCTCTGAACCACCGTCCCTTCATCTGTAAAGCAGAGCATGCCTGCCCTTCCAGAGTTATTATGAGGACCCAGTAGAAGACATCAACACCAAAGGTCAATAGCAGGTCCCAGATAACAGTCGTTCTCTTCGTCCCTTTGCCCCTCACACCTCAGTAGTCTCCAGTTCTCAGGGCTCTGCAGCTCACCTCCCTTGCCCCAAATGGGGTGCGTAACATGAAAGGCTGAGTCAGAGGCAGAGCCCCTGGGAGCCTCCGGATTTCCCTGGGGTCCCCCGTTAGCCCTTGTCTGTCTGACCAGTCTGCAAAAGCCACTCTTGAGTCCCAGGGCTCCTTGGTGGCAGAATGATATAAAACACAGCGGGCACCTGAAGACCACACCGTCCACTTGAGAAAAGCTTCCTTCTGTGGCTTCAGGAGTCACTTTCTGAAGGGGAGCTCTGGCTCCTCACCTTAGTCCAGTTTCTGTTGTCAGGCAGTTGTCTGGAATCATCCGGAAGCTTAGACCCTCAAGCCCGTTTTAGAAATGAGAACATAGCAGTGGGCTTTAAATCTGAGCTAAAGGAAGTATATGGTTTAACAAGCAATTGAGGGCTTATGTGGTCTGTTTCAAGTTTTTTGCTTGTATCCAAAGAACATTCCATTTCATCCCTTTGGATGAAATTTAAAGGTTTTCCTTTTTTTTTTTTCCCCCAAATACTTTTTTTTTTTAACTTTCAGGAGGCTGGCCCTTTTCAATAGCAGGTCCCAGATAACAGTCGTTCTCTTCGTCCCTTTGCCCCTCACACCTCAGTAGTCTCCAGTTCTCAGGGCTCTGCAGCTCACCTCCCTTGCCCCAAATGGGGTGCGTAACATGAAAGGCTGAGTCAGAGGCAGAGCCCCTGGGAGCCTCCGGATTTCCCTGGGGTCCCCCGTTAGCCCTTGTCTGTCTGACCAGTCTGCAAAAGCCACTCTTGAGTCCCAGGGCTCCTTGGTGGCAGAATGATATAAAACACAGCGGGCACCTGAAGACCACACCGTCCACTTGAGAAAAGCTTCCTTCTGTGGCTTCAGGAGTCACTTTCTGAAGGGGAGCTCTGGCTCCTCACCTTAGTCCAGTTTCTGTTGTCAGGCAGTTGTCTGGAATCATCCGGAAGCTTAGACCCTCAAGCCCGTTTTAGAAATGAGAACATAGCAGTGGGCTTTAAATCTGAGCTAAAGGAAGTATATGGTTTAACAAGCAATTGAGGGCTTATGTGGTCTGTTTCAAGTTTTTTGCTTGTATCCAAAGAACATTCCATTTCATCCCTTTGGATGAAATTTAAAGGTTTTCCTTTTTTTTTTTCCACCAAATACTTTTTTTTTTTAACTTTCAGGAGGCTGGCCCTTTTTAGACATCTCAGCCTTTATTTTCCTTAAGGACTTGTCAAAGGTCACAAAGCCCTTACTAGCCAGACACTCCCGACATATAAAGCACTCATTCGTCCATGTGCAGAGAGCTGCTGGTTCCCACTGCGGAGCAAATGCGCTGTGCTTGGGAGGCAGAAGGGACCAGGGCTAATGCCCCTGCCTTCCATATCTCTGCTTTACCTAGAGAGGCAGAGCTCATTAAGAAGTAGCAGGTTTGCTGTCAGACCGTAGCCAAACTCTGGAGAGAAGAAATGTGTGGCGTGGCCAGGGCCGAGGGGCCTACTTTAGACAGCCCTCTGCAGAGTCGCTCCCGGCTGAGCTGAACCCGGAAGGATAAGCAGGAACCAGCCCTGCAGAGAGTTAGTTGCAGGAGGCATTTTCTGGACAGGGAGTGGCAAAGGCCCAGGATGTAAAAAGACTGGTGTGTTCAGGGGCAGGGTAACGAGAGCAGGGCAAGTGAGGAGAAGGAAGGAAGGGAGGGGACAGGAAAGGAGGGCAGCAGGCTCTTCAGGCCATGGAGAGGCATCTGGTAATGAAGCTGGTTTCCCTCTTGCACTTTATAAATTGCAGCGTTTATTCTTTCATTTGACATTCTTTCCGAGCCTTTTTAGGTATCAGGCCCTGTGCAAGATACAAGGATAGAGTGGTGAGCAAATAATGTAAGACCAAAATAGTGCATGCCACTGGGCCATGGCAGCGAGAAGGGAAGTTCACGGAGGTCACTGCAGCGCGGTGGTCTGGTGAGAGCATTCGAGTCGAACTTTGGACTTAGACTGGACCCACCCCACACAGGGGGCAGTTGAGAGGAGGAGTGATCGCAGAGGCAGGGTCTTGAGTCACCAAGTTCCATCTCCAGATGTGTGACTTTGAACAAGTTGCTTGACCTCTCTGAGCTTCAAGTCCCTTGAGCACCTAGCCAGTAAGAGGCACTTGGGGACATGTGGACACAACAGCAGTGCAGCATTCTGTCATCTTAGAGGGGAAAGAAACCTAAATCTCCTGAAACTTCATGCTAGAGAAGAGGATTAGGAGTAAGATTTTTCTGGTGAATATCAAAATCTGAATTGAAGCTGCTAGCCAGCTTTATATAGTAATCTTAAATGCTATCACTAGGCTTTATCCGTCTCCACATTCCATTTCCCTGCTCCCCTGTAAAACTACAGCAGTGTTTGTGTTTATTACTAGTGACTTGCGGAAATAGATTACTTTTGTCTTACTTTTGGGACGCATATTACACCTTAAAGAAAATACAGTAACATCTCCCAAAGTTCCGAAAGTAGAGAAGAAAATATCCCGTAGTTTCTTGGCGGATTCACCGCTGCGAAGCCCCCGTTGTGTGTTCCCCCGTCTTCGTTTGCAGACTCATCCTTTCATGCCTGCACAGAGCCCGTGCCATGGCCGTCTTCCATCCTCTCCCCGTTGCGAGTGTTCCAGCATAGTGCACATCATTTGAACATTGCCAGCCAGTTTAGTGAGTCTGCTTTCTGATGGTCACATGAAGGTTCATCTGATGACTTCCGCCCTGATTTCCTTAGGCCTTTTCCTGCTAGTAGATATTTTGGTTGCTTCCAGCATTACATTATGTTTAACAAACCGTAACAGGTGGCTTCATGAACATTGTGTTTTCTTTCTTTTGAATTATTTCTTTAGGATAAGTTCCCAGAAGCGGCATTTCGGGTTCAAAGGGTATGAACGTCTTTTTGTGACCCTACGCGTTGCCAGTTTGCTTTCCCACTGGGTTGTGCCTGTGTTAAACTGCTTCAGCTCTCTGTTAAGAATTACTGACTTTCACAGCCTTGGTGGGCTTCTAACCTGAGTGACTGTCGCCTAAACTGAGCAGCTTGCAAAAGGGCAAGGAAGCAGGAGGGGGAGAACTGAGCGTTTGTTCCAAGGCCGGCCCCAGAGCTTGTGGTATACCCACTTTGTCTCGTGACCCCATCATCGTTCAGCCCCATGGTGCCTCACTCCCAGAGCATCAGCCTGGGCTCGGGAATCCTAGGGTTCACTTAGGCCCCAGGTTGAGCCAAGGTCTGTCTGACTCCATAGCCTCCTCCTGCCCCTATTTATTGGACTGATTCCCAGGACCATGGAGTTTACCAGAGTCTCTGCCCAGCTGCCTTGGAGAAGTCTCTTTGTAATACTTGAGCTTGGTCAGCTATCATTCCTGTGTAATCTAATCTGGGCTTCCGAGGTCAGTCTTCCTGGTATTCTATGGAAGACTCTTAAAGAATAATCACTTCCTTTTCCTCTTTAGTAATACTTCTGAATTTGCATCTTCATTTAACAAAGTCAACCCTATAAAATCCAGGATCCCAAGCCTTCAATCTTTTGAAGGCCAAGTAGTAGGGTCAGAAGAACATGGACTTCGGACTGCAGTTACTCATTGACTAACCTCACGGTTCCCAGTCTCCAAAATGGGAGCCACACAGGGTCCTTACAAGGCGTGCATGAGGTGCCATTGCACAGCCCAGCACGGTGCCTGCAGGCCACGGGTAACCAGAGGGAGTGGCTCTCGTTCCAGGACAGTGGGCTGAGTCGTGTGACCCAGCACTGGGCTTAGTTTTGTGGGTTCATGGAGTTGTGGGGTGGTCCTCTTGGCTGCAGGTTCTTACAGACTGGGAATTAGTCTTCTTCCTTACCTTCATGGCATGGGTGCCTCATGCTCTGCCTTCACTCAGAGGTTGGGGCAGAAACCAGGGAAAGTGGCCATGGGAGGGGAGAGGGTTAATGTTGTTTGCAGAGCAAAAGCAGATGTTATACCAAAAAGGCTCACATTTGGAGCAGAATTTTGAACTCCTTTTATATTTATTGGAAGGTTTTAGGTTTTCAGGGTGACGGGCTATAGAAAACCACTTATGTTTCTATTTTCTCATCTCTGGCTCTGGTCTTTGCCTTCAGAACCCCAAGAGGAATGGGGTTTTGACCCAGAAATAAAGCTTCCCATCAGCCTGGACCTGACCAAATGGGCATTTTTCTTTCTTCTTGTTTTTTCTCATCCCTAAAATCTTAAGTTTTGAGGGCTCAAACTGCCAAATATTTTAAGTGACCACTCACAGTTGGGCTTTTTGCACGTGGGCTGGCAGGAGCGTGTGAACTTCCTGGACACCTGGTTAAGTGACACCAGTGTCAGACGTCCCTGAGTTCACACCCCAATTCTGCCTCTTCTCAGCCGTGTGAACCGAGACTGCTCTGCCCTCTCAGCTCTGCTACTTTCTCTGTAAAATCTTTCTGAAAAAGTTTTTAAAATATGTATTTCATTGTGACAGAGAACATGCACATGTGTTAAGGGAGGGCACCTTGACAGGGTCTCCTCACGCCATCCCCTTCCTTTAGCCCTCTGGCTCCTTGGGATCTTAGGTGTGCGCACACCTGGTGTATTTTCAGGGTGACTTGGGATCAGTTCAGTACGCTGCTGCCTGCCCCACTGAGGCTGGTCCCCTCCATTAAATTTGTTTGTTTGTTTTTGCCTTAGGACATTTGTGCTCACCAGAGACAGAGAAAGGGAAAGTTAGGAATCAACCCTCCTAGGGGATGACCACACCACAATCTCTTATCCTCCATTCTCCTCCTGGGATCTTGGGCGTGTGCCCACCTGCATCTAGTGTGATTTTGCAGGATCGAGGACTCGAACTGTGGCTGGCCACGGGAGAGAGTCCAACACTTTAACCACTGCATCACCTGCTGGCCCGGCCCCCTTCTATAAAATTTTGAAGTTGCAATAATGTGCCCAGTTGTTGTATACAATGGGAGCCTGATAAATAGAAGCTTTAAAACAATTTTTTAGTGGAATTGCACCTCCTTTCCTTCTGGTTGCTGTATGTGTCTTTATGAAAAATGCAGTTTTAAAAACTGTTAAAATCAGGTCCAAGTGCTACCACCACACCACCATTATCCTCCTCACTATATAAAAAACCTTCGTTCTCTGAGCTTCATCGTTTCCAGAGTACTGTGTTACCTCTGACGCGGCCCCGGAGGTGAGATGGCTCTCCTGGGTTTCTCCGTCAGGAGACTGGTTCAAGTTCTCCTGCCAGTTTGGGGCCGAGGCAGGGCTGGAGTTTAGGTTGCTGACCAGCTTCTATACCGCCGGGTCATCAGGCCACCGTGCAAGCCCAGCCCCTTGAGGTCGGTCACCTGTCCCCTCTCTTGTGTCAGGCGACACCTGCACTGTAGTCCTCAGTGCATGAACAGGAATACCCAGGATGCCCTGGAGTCCCTGTCTGCACAGCTCCCTCGGGGTGGCATGGTTTGCCCTCCCTTCTCCATGCCCGGCATGGACCTATGCAGCGGTGTGCTGGCTGCTTCCCAGGCAGCATTCTCTCGGAGCCTCCTCCTGCTCCGTGGATGCCCGTTGCACACATCAGGAAGACGTGCGCCCAGAAGCTCGGGGCGTGCTCAGTATAGTGGAGCTGGGGGCCAGCGCAGGCCTGTCTCACTCTGGCCGTGTCCCTTAGGCATCCCGCCCTCAGTAAGGCCATCAGCTGTGTGCCACGGAGAAGGCCTGGAGGCTACCTCCCCTGGGGACTTCCCCTCTGCTTCCTGGCTCTGGTTGGTGGCAAGCCTGTTCTTGGGGGCTGAAGGCTGCTTTCTGCACAAACGTCTCTGGCTTCTGGGCACTCTGTTTTGTTCCCGCTCTCTGGAAATGCCTAGAGGCCACAGTGGATTCTGAGCAGACACCTCTTCCATGGGCCAGAAACCCCTGTGCTGGTGGAGCCATCTCTGTCCCAGAGAGCTGGCCAGGAAAACTGGAAGGACATTCAGGGAACTCAAGCTGCACAGCTGCCAGATGCCAGGCCCCTGCCCATTGGCACACACTGCCCATGGTATGGCCGACGGGGTGGGACGCCAGGGAACTCACCTGAGGAGGAGATGTGGCAGGGGCAGGGTTTTGGTTGGGCCTCACCAGATCTGAAGCCCACATATATCTCACCCTCTTCTGCCCCCGTTCCTCACCACCATATGGCGAGACCTTGAAACACAGCCACTAGTGATTTGGATTTCCAAGTCCATGCTGGCTTAGTGGGATGCAGCCTGGCCTCTAGCCCTCCCTAGAGGTCACTTTACCTCCTTAGATTTTGCTTGCCTATCTGGGAAGTGGGGCTGACTACTAGGCAGGGAATAGACTAGGCTGGTCACATGATTTTGGAGTGAGTCCTGGCAGAGGAGAGGTGCTCAGCTAACATGGCGACCCAAACTTGAACCCATCAATAACTGAGCACAACTTTCTCCCCTTTGACTGGTTGATTGAGTTTTTTTGCCTCACTACAAGAATACTAGAACCACAGTACTAGCAGAGATGGGGCTTTGTTTTGTTTCTCTATTTAAAATAAAAATCACTGTGCAGTGTTTTGGTTTGGAGCATCTCAGTGAAATGATTCTTCTCTGCTCTCCTTCCAGGCCATCCGGGTATTCTTCATGCTGCGTTCCCTGTCACTGCAGCTGCGAGGAGAGCCCGAAACCCAGTTGCCACTGACTCGGGAGGAGGACCTGATTAAAACCGATGATGTCCTGGATCTGAGTGAGTGGGCCATCCTGTGTCATGGTGCAGGGGCCTGGGGGGACACTGGTCCGCTGACTCACATGCCACTGGGAGGATCAGTGTGACCTGCATTTAGTACTGCCATTGATCTATGACCTTGAGCGAGCAGTATGTACATCCTATGGAATTTTTGAAGAGAAGGGCCCAAGGTTCAGAGTACCTTGAGATCAGTCTGTGGTTCCATTTTCTAGAGACCAGATGGTTTGCCGAAAGATCTATGCTGACCACCCAGGGATGCAAACAAGGGTGGGCTCCAGAGTCCCTGCCCTCCATGTAGCCATAGCAGCACTCATTGATGGATTCTGTGCATTACGGATTTTCTATCTGATTTCAATGATAAAAGGATTCTGATACTATAGAAAGAAAGCTTGCAAAAAGCAATTCACAGTGTTTAGGTAAGGATGAGGGCTTTGGTGGCCAGAGAACCACATGCCCAGCCTGTAACCTCAGGCTCCTTATTTAACCACATGGTGCCTTGGTGTTCTCATCTCCAACCCGAGGCTGAGAGCTAAAGGAGGTGACAGGTATGAAACCTAGTCATGTTCCCGGAGCCTTTCTTGTGTTTGTGTACCTTTGTCCTTCCCGTTTGCTCTGGGGCCCATGCGCATTGATGGACAGTATGGTTTTCTGCCCCTTAAAGGTGATCTGTTGGGACTCTCTGGTTACAAGAGACAGAAAATCCAACTTAGGCTGGATTAAGGAAAAAGAAAGGGAACTAGCTAATGTCACCAGAATGTCCAAGAGTAGTTCTGCCCTGAGGCATGGCTGGATCTCGGTGCTCAAACAGTATCATCAGGAAGCTGCCCCCTGCCCCCTATCTCTCTCAGCCCTGTTTACTTCTGCTCCTCCTTCTCCTGAGGAGGGTTCTCATCAGGTAGTGACAAGGTGGCTGTCAGCAGCCTTAGCATTTGTTGTATCAGCTAAGCAGCCCTGATGGAAGATGGCTTCTTCTTTCTTTGTAGTGGGTCATCAGAAAAGCCTTTTTTATATTTTTCTATGTTTTTCTATGCAAAATTGCATCATGACTTTTCTGATGACCTAGTAACTTATATAAAAGTCTGATTGGCTTGGCTGGGGTCATATGACCATCTCCGAACCAATCAGTGATCAGAGGAATAAGATGCCCTGGTTGGCCAACCCTGGAGCTAGGAGGTGGGGCCAGTTCTTTTTTCAAAAAGAATCACAAAAAAGGAAAGGAGGCAGGACAGGCAGAAACAACAGATGGCTTCTCCCCAGTGTTGTTTTTGTTTTGAATCAGCTTTATCCAGGTATAATTTACGTACAGTAGTTTTCACCAACTATATGTATAATTAAATTACTTCTGACAAAATGATGCCCTTGAGTAACCAGCAATCGTGACACAGACCGTCGAGTGCTGGCCAGGCATCCCTGCCCTGCCCCGTATTCCCTTGAGCAAATAGCTGGAACCTCTGCAGCCTCCATGTTCTTGCCTATAAAACGGGGTGGTCTTCCATACAGTCCAGGATTATTTGGGGGACTGAATGCAGTACAGTATGAGATACCACGTGACCAAGCATAATGCCCGTTATGTCACTGTACTCGCCAAATGGTGTAGTCAGTTTCATCTACAGAGTAAATGACATGATGCTTCTGAAGAGCACAGCTTGCCGCTGGCCGTGTGGATGAGGCTCATAGATGAGTGTTACCTGGTTGTCAGTTTCTTTTTCTGGTCGTCTTCTTAGTTATACTCTTATCTGTCCCTTTCCTGGAAGAACAAAGAAGCTGTGTCCCCTCCATGCTCCTTACCCACCTCCTTTGGCCCTGTCACTGTTGAAAAATGGCCACAGAGATTTCTGTAAGGGTTTAAATTGATTGACTTGGCTGGAGAGAATCATAAACCAGTCGGTCTCTGATTTGGTTCAAGGAGAGAAAGAGAAACAACGTGCTTTAAAGGGGGCCGTTCCATCGGGCAGGAATGTTTGCATCCGTGAAATAGAATTAAATTTTGTGCTGGGAATCGCATTCCTTCCCTCCTCCCCCTAGGAATGGCCTACTGAAATAAAGGTTAAAAGTGTTCTGCTTATCAATTTTAATTGATTAGTTTGCTAGTTGAGATCACTTAACTGAGCCTTTTTGGGTAGTTGGCCATTAAGAAAGTAATGGCCGTCTGTCTTTATCCAGTCTGATTGCAAATTATGTCTTTTGTTAGGGCAACGGTTCAGAAAATATTAGGGAATATGGGTTTTAAAAGCACACAATACTAGAATAAGCTTTGCAAGTGTTGGTTTGCTTTTTTGCTTTATTTATGATTAGTGTGTGTATGTACACTCACACACACAAACACACACACACACACATTTGGTCATTTCAGTACAGGAGCTTCTCCTACGGCTGAGGAAATAATCACTGTACTCTGCGTTTCTCAGAATGCCTCCTGTATTGCAGAATATAGGAAGAATGTAGGTGAAGGCATTTATATTTGCTGAGTGATTAGAAGCTGGGCATTCTAATCAGCTTGAGGAAGCTGACTCAGGGAATGTTAGGATTGGTCGACTCTTATCTGACTTGATATGAACTGATACAATTAAAGGAATGACGGCTCCCGGCTCACACAGCAGGAAGAGGTGACATGAAGTGTGTTTACCGTCTGCATCATATTTTGATAAGAAACCACAGCATAAAGACTACTTCCCAAAAGCCACTTCATGTGTTTGCTGGCCAGCAGCAGGTCTGTAGCCCGGGTATGGCAGGCGAGCTGTGGAATAAAAGGTAGCTTCCGTGTGTGCATGCCCGGAATCCCAAAAAGAGAAATAGGGGAGAAGGAATTGTGGCATGGCCATCCCCCATTGGGGGAGTGAGATGCTTTCTCATTTACCCCATCTCTCTGTCTAGCATATGCATCTTCTAGCACATTTTTAAAAAGGAAAAAAAAGATGGCTTCCTACCAGGAGTATCTAAGATGCATTAGTTACTACTCAGGAAAGAAAACAGGCCGTGCTCAAAGCAGAGGCTGCTTTGTTTTTTTTGCTGGAGAGGAAAGTGGCGTGGGGCAGAGGTCACCAGCCAGCCATATAGACGTGTCTGCTGAAAGAAAGGGGTGGGGAGAAGCAGCGGGAAGGGAAAGGCAGAGGAGGAAGGGTAGGAGAGAGGACTAGGTAGGATAGGTCTGAATTGTAGAGAACAGCATTCTGAGTCTCTGTATACCCAGCCCGCAGCCACACAATCATTACAGTTTGCCAGCTTTTATCACCTGCCCCACCATTTCAAATACCCCACCCCACCTGTCGGGTGTATTCCAGTAAATGGAAGACATATTATTACATCTGTAAATACTTGTACCAGATGAGGAGTATGGTCACTTCGCTCAATTGAATTGGCTGTCGTTGTCTGCAAATTGCAAGCTCCCCAGCTCTGGCTGCTGCTTTGGGCTGGGGGTGGTTGTGGGGGCAGCCCCGGGAGATGGGGCCTGCCCCGTCTCATGTGCTGCCATCCTGGCTGGGTTGACATTTGATTCTGCAGCCCCTGGTGTGTGGGAAGTCATCCGTTTGTGACTTCCCCCAGAGTCTTAACACTTTTGAAGCTAGTGGCCTTTCTTTAAAATGCTCCCAAAAGACTTCCCAAGGAGAGCTATCGAGAAGACCAAATAAGACCACGTATGTAAAGCACACAGTGCCGTGTTTGGTGCATAGTAGGTACTCTGTGAACGAGAGTTGGCTGTCATCCTGGCCCTGGCTGCTGAATAAGTGAGCTGGAACTCATCCCACTGGGCCCCATGGCGTCAGTGGTTTCTGCTGAACAGCGTTCTGAGAACCGTATCCTGAAATACATTCAAACCAGTGTGTCCTTACATGGTGGCATTGTTATGGGGGCAAGAAAGACTGCTCCGGCCGGAGGAGGGGAGCCGCACCCACCTGGGCTGTGGGCTCATCCACTCCAGGGTACCGGCTGACCATGATTGCTCTGAGGACAAGGAGGCTTTGAAGAGAAGCCACAGACTCCCGCTTGGCATCGGCTTTGGAGCCTTCAGAAAGGATTCTTGCCTGTTGCCAAATAACGTAGGCAATCATAGTCGGGGAGAAAGGCCTCCACTACCCAGACCTGCTGAGAGCTGCCAGGCAGTCAGGCACGCTCAGTCCCCAGTTCCCTCATCCTTATTCATGAGGGCACTTGCTGCTCCACAGCTGTGGCCACAGCATGTGCTGCACGCACCGTGTCTCGTATTTCAATGGTCCATTCGTGAAATCCATTCATGACATTCATTCAGATCCATTCATAAAATCTAGTCAATGAAAGCCCATTCATTCATTGAGCTATGAACTGAGCACCTGCTATATGCCAGACTCAGTTCTAGGCTGGGCTCTGACAGTAAGCTAAAGCCAGACTCAGCTCTGTTCTTGGGATGCGTGCAGTCTGGGGGGAAGAGAGGGTGGAGGGACAAAGTTAAATGATGATCACAGAATGGTCGAGGTAGCTCTTGGAAGGTGATAAGCAGGCCCTGTGCCAGAGAATAACAAGGAAAAGGAACTCCTGGAGCTCGGTTAAGGAGGGTCTCTCCAAAGAGATGCCATAGAGGAGCCTTTCCAAAGGCTCCGAAGCTGATGCCGAGCTCCTCCATGCCAGGAGGAGCCTGAAGTTTATGTGAGAAAATGCCAAAATGAGGCCTGCCTTTTTTTTTTTTTTAAAGTAGAAGTCACATCCATGCAGCAGAAAGAGAGTCACAGAGAGAAAGAGAGAAAAGGCACCCATCTTGGGGGGTGGTCACACCACAATCCTTTTTCCTCCATTTCTCCCTCCTTTCAGGATTTTGGACATGCACATGCACCCAGTGTGTTTCTCAAGCCACCAGGTCTGGGACTCGAACCATGTGGTTGGCCATGTGGGATCTGGCAGCCTCAGTCACCAAGCCACAGAACCAGCCTGAGGCCCGCCATTGAGAATGCCAGACGTGAGGCTGAGGTGCGAAGAGCTCGGCATGCCCCAGGACCCTGACAGAGGCCGGGGTGGCCGGCACATGAAGA